AATCTTGCTAATTGAATCTTTCTGCAACAAAAAACGAGCAATCAAAAGTCTTGGACAAAGTGTCGCAGGATTTTCTGGACAACCCAATATTTGATTTTCACATCTTCTAGTCTTTCGCTTTTCGAGACTTCTAGGGTTCAAATCCGCTTTTTGTGACTGGATGCTTCTGAAAGAAGTTGTGACTTATAAAACTGAAAGAACCCGATGCTCAGAAAATTTGCCGCATCATATGCAAAAAGACTATCGTCGAAGCCATGGAAGCAGAATATCGTACACTAAAGGGCGTTTTCTGAAAATAGACCGACGTCTTCTACGTCAGCAACGGCAACAAAGACTGGCAAAATCAGTAGCAAAAAAGAGATCACGTTTGCAAGATCCCCTATGAATCATGCCGCATTCCAAGCATCACTGTGGGGTCACTTCGCAGCAGTCATGACAAATGTAGTCATAGAAAGGCTGGTATTCCCCAGAACTCAGACAATCTGGAGAAGCTGTGCTTCTCCGACTGGGGAACCCTTTCAGGACGTGAAGTGCTTTTTCAAAACGGTTTCAAGTTTTTAAATTTGGTTCTCAATATTTCACGCGCGCGTACACAGTGATGCACGCGAATGTGAATGTGCTGAGACATGCCGATGTGGAAAAACATTTCAGGTGCGAACACACCTGTTGGCAGGGTTGACTTTCAAACACAGTCCGGTAATGTTATGGAACGCCTCCGTGAAGGTGCGTCTGCTGTGCTCGGAAGGTTCTGAAATGGCATCTTAAAGGACCCATTTCGGAAGGACGAAACATTGCAACAACCTTCGTAAGAGGGCAACGTGGTGGAATCCAATAGTCGTGGCGTGGTACCTCTAGACTTCTCGTAAAGCATCTCCAATCGATTCATATCACCAAACGGAGGAAAACCGTTCGCCATTTCACAGAGTGCGGTACCTACACTGTAGATATCTGCGCTGGTTGAGTATCCGCTGAGGTCCTGACATACAATTTCACATACGGAGTGAGTTTTTGAAGTAAATAGTGGGATCGATCCAATATGCATAGATATAATATAAGGTTCTAATGCCTTTAGTAGGAAAGCAAAAGCTCACTTGGGCCAGAACTTCTGGAGCAAGCCAAAGCAGTGAAGCCTCGACGTGATTGTCGAAATCGGTGGTGGATGTCTCACCAGGTCGCAGCTTTCGCGCAAGACGGAACCCCGTCAAGCGGACACCACCAGCCGAATCGAGGAGGAGATGACTAGCCCGAATCGACCTACGCGATGTATTAAGATGTATCAAAGAACCTTGTAAAATGCATAATGTCGCCAACCTGTGGATAATCCGTTGCGCATGTAGATAAACAAGGGCAGTAAGAAGTTGACGAAGAATCAAAGCAATCGCCTTCTCAGGAATACCACACTGATAGGAAGATAATATCACATCGGACGCAGAACCTTGAACAGTTAGAATGCCTTTTGAGTGAGCCAGGAAGTTTTCTTCCACTGGGGCATTATTCCACTTCCGCCATGAACCCAATGAATCCAATCTTATCGTAATCCCTCGCTTCAAAGCAAGAACTCAAAAGTTCTGTCGAAAAATCTATTCTGCGGCGTGATACCGAATATCACAGATGTGCCCTTGGCGCGTCTCGAAAATGGGCCACAATGCCGCTAGGACTTTACAAAGTGAACTTGTGGCCCTAGAGATCGTGAGTTTAGGGTGGCAAAGGAGGGGAGCTCAAATGCTGAAGGTGGGCGAAGCCTGGAGGTGAACAGGGTTAACTACAGAACTTCACAACTCGCTCAGAACGTCCCGCGCTAGGGGTAAAATCGGCGTTGGTAAAATAAGGGAGGTCGAATGCTAATGGAAGGCTATTGATCTCTTCTGTTCAAGCACTCATAAGGTTGAAACTGATCTTTATTCGCTAATATTTAGGCGGGA